AAAGATCTCACCTTGGGCGTGGTGCATTTGGGGCTCGGTCGACCCGCATGCCTTGTGTGTGTGTGTGTGAAGCTCCACGATGCCTGTTTATCTGATGGAGTGGCCCAGCTCTGCGCCTTTATTATAGATTAGCAGGTTGAGGTTCTCCATTACCGCGGGGCCTGATTTATGAGGAACAGCACCCGAGCCCAGCAGTGAAGCGCCAGTGTGTGCCAGCAAGCCCAGCCAGGCGGGGGGTAAGGTGCCAGCGGCCCCTCCTGGGAATGAAGCTTTGTCAGGACATTTTAGAGTTTAATTCACTTTGCAGGTTGGATCGGGTTGGACTATGGTGCCCTGCGTTGGCGTCGCCTGCCTTGACTCAGGTTCCTTAAGTGCAAGGGCAGCTCATTGCCAAATTCATGCCACATTTGAGTCCTTTCCAGTGGCGGGAGGGTCTTTTTCATTACCTGACTGATGTACAGAAATGAGCCGACGATCTGTTTTATCTGGGATCACTGTGGGGTGACTGGATTCATTGAGGCCTACAAGCTAAGGGAGGCAGTTTAGGAGGTGGGCGGGACAGCCTCACTTTAACTCCCAGAATGCCCTGCATAAGGATGGAGGTCACCGCAGACTGAGTGATTAATAATGATCTTCTGTTATGGAGTCACTGTGTCGACCACTGAACCTGCCCCAGTAAATCCACTTTCTCCTCTGGAACTTTCCACATTTCAGTCAGGACAACTCCCCATTGGAGACAGAGTCTGCTTATTGTTCACGTTTCAGTTCTGTCCAGTTCAGCGAGTGAGTTTTTGTGATAAAGGAAGAAGCTCTGGAGCTTTGGAGCAGTTAGAGCTGGTTGTATAAAAATCTTCAGTGTCAGGGGGGCGGGGGGCGGGGGGTCTGTGTGCCTCATAGTGTTAGGACTCTGTAGCTGTGGCTTTGATGCCTAGGTCAAAGGTCAAATCCCACGTTCAGCAGAATTATGTCACTGCTGGGCTCCTGAGCAAGCTCCTCAACCCCAGATTACCCTCTCAAAAATGTACAGTATTGAGTAAAAATCTTGGGCAGTCAAAGAAAGTGATGTTTTAAAAAAATATTGTGCTTTTTAAATATGTGTTAGTTTACTTTTTGAGGAACAGAAGAAATTGTTTTTATTGTCAAATTGTATGTTTTTTTTCCTGGGCAAATATACACAGATAAAAAATCTTAATCATTCTCTTTGACTTGCTTTGGACTTTTACACAATACTGTACATAGTGTTGGATAAAAGAAAGTAGTATTATTGTGGATATCCTATTATTATTATTACTACTACTATTACTATTACTACTACTTCAACTGTGCTTTTCAAAGAGGCTAAAAAGCTTCAGCACAATAAATGTAAATGTTCTCCTGTGTCAGTACTGACCAGGGACAGACGTAGATATCATGGTGTTAGAGGAAGGTAAACACTGATTAACCCCCAGGACATCAGACACACCTGCAGGTGACAGCAGAGAATGTGTCTGTCACGTCTCTGCGTTCTGACTCAGAGTCAGTGTGTTATTTGAGTTCGGCCAGGAAGTTCTCTGTGCTTCCGCGATGTTATTAAGTGGTGTAAGGGCTCATCCATGTCCAACCTCAGTCTAGAACAGCAGCTCAGAGAGCCTGGTCTGTGATCTTGCTGATTCTTTTATGAATGATCCATGGAGTCATATATCAGTAAGTAATTTAGGGTCACTGGCACCCTGCCACCTCAGAATACCAATGTACGTTTATGGGCCTTAAATGATGATGATAGTACAGGAATACCTACTTGTTGTGTTTGCTTGCACAATGTGCACGTTTTGTTCCACAAAGACACTGAGGCAGTGAAACAAATCTCCTGTGTTCCTTATACGGCAGAAAGCGAGGGTTGTAAATCAGGGATTTGTTGGGCGATGGCGAGGCAGCTGTCGCCTCGTGTTTCCATGATGTAAAGATCACCGGGAATCGCTGATACGGACTTGTAGGTTCTTTCTGCATGACTTCCATCAGAATGCACAACAAAGAGCCTCGTCATCTAGTGTGAAAGTCACTGAAGTTAAGGCACCCAAAGAACAACTTCACTAGTCAAAATTGAATTAATTTAGTTGTCATATTTTCCGTTAATGGCATTAACTTGCCTTTAGACTATACCCCCCCACACACACAGACTATATACCCCCCCCACACACACA